TTAGTTGTGGATCGTTTACGTACTACCTTTCTTCGGTATTTTGGTAATACGGTTTATATAAGTACTTCTCCTCAGAAGGGGGTCCGGAAATTACATATAACATCTCTCATCTCTGTTTTATTACATCTCTATAAGACAAAAAATGATCGGAGTCCGTTTTTAATCACTTACGATCAAATTAAACTTAAATATAATCTAAGAGAATCGATAAACCTTAATCTTAATATTGATTATCAAACGAAATACTTATTCCCAAACTGAGATCCAATACATAGATTTCGAAACACAGCTACTTCTTTAGAAGAGATTATTTAATTAATTAAGCTTCGTTTTTTCTTGAAATTCCGTAACTTGTACATTCCCCAGCAAAACCCATTTTTCTCCTTCTCCAAAATCATAAGGGTTTTCTTCATCGATCCTCTCGAACGCAACCGCTTTTCTGCAAGCTGGCGGCGGTGCAGAGCATTTCGAATGCCGGAGCTCCGCCTCGACTTTTCCTCCCCCACCGCCGCCGAAGTTTCTGGATGATATAGTTGGTATTTGTGGGGTTGGGCAGCCCATGGCGTTGCCGTAGCTGATGTTCCCTCCGCCGCCAGCCACCGTCAGACCCTTTACGCACAAATCCCGAGCTCCGGCCAATACGTGTAACGGGCATTTCATGCATTTCATGAATTTGCCCTGCTGCTTGCGGCTGTGAATCGCCCTTTTGGAGTTCATTTTCCCTCTTTAAATTAATTTAAACAAATAGACTCAAACCCTAATCTTATTTACAATGATAATTATGGAACTTAATTATCACGCACACACACATATATACACATGTATGTATAGTTATATCTTGTCATAAATGAATGTTGATAATGTATATGTATTATTTGGACTTGTCTAGAAGTATATATATATATATATATATATATATATATATATATATATATATATATATATATATATGGTGTATTATATTAACTAGGGTTTCGCCCCACCATTAAGTAAAATTTTCATGAGTCAACTCTGAGCTAATTAATAGGGGGGCTGCTGAGTAGTATAGATGGGGATGGGTCAATTATCATGATTCGACACCTCACCGGGTCGGGTCTACGAATTTTTTTTGTTGGATCGAACCTAGGTTAATTCAAATTTTCAATTATATTAAAATTGAGTTACGTACACCAATATTGTGGTGTTAAAAATCCAATATTGTTAATGGTAACCATCTTTCTTGGTAATTTCCCGATAATTTTGGATTAGTGATCTGGACTGACTTGGGCCTAGAGGAAAGGCCCAAACCCAATTAAATGAAATCCAGATGATCAGGACCGACTTGGGTCCAAAGGGAGGGCCCAAGCCTAATTAAAGGAAGTCCAATACCATAAAACCATAATAGACCGCAAGGGGTAATTAACGAAGTATAAATCCTACGAGATAGGCTGACGAAGTAATTCCACGTCTGACGAAGTAAACGTTACGTCGGTACTTCGAGAGTCGTGCAGGGGACAATTCTGGGAGGTAAAGGATGGGGGACATGCTTGAACTGACTGGGGGACAATGAAAATGACCAATAAGAACTAGCCACGTGGCAGAATAGACAGGATGACGACTCTTGTGTCTAGGAAATGTAAACAAGCCCAATTAGAACCCATGTTGTATTAGTAGTCTTTCAAATATACAAGTTATGAATATTCAAATCTATAACAAGATCTAATAATCTATTAAATAAAATAAAAGGGAAAATATATATTATTGTACGTGGCTAATTTAGTCTCATCAATTAGTATATATATTAATTGTCCAACCATATATATTATGTCATTTATATGCTAAGTTGTATATTTGTTGTTGACTTTTTGAGATCTATAGTGGATTGAATATATAAACTATTGATGCTGCTCCAAAATGTTGGGTCAGCCCAATGGTCTTGAAGTCCACAGGTCTCCTAAGTCCGGGAATCTTCAAGCCCAATATCGGGAATGCCGAGAGTCCTTGCCACGCGTCCGAGGTAGTCGAAGGGATCGCTCCACTCATTAACCTACAAAACAGTTGAAAACACTAGGTGACACGCCGGGCCACCGACGCTCAAGTCAGAAAACTATCACAATATAAGCAAATATATTAATTAATTGCCTAAATAGTGCTTACCTTATTATATGAGTTAAATCACATATTTATAGGTGATGAAATATGGAGACTTCTTGTAGAAATCCGATGTGGGACAATATGTTATAACTAAAATCCTATTGAATTTTAGTAGATGTGATAATTGGGCTTTTATTATTAATTGGATTGATTTGGCCTTTTAGGCCAAAAACCCAATTAAGAATTAGGCACATCATTAAGCCCCCCACTCCCAAGTTGAGCCACAGGCACGTGGGCCTGGTTGGGAGTAACTTAGGAACAGTCGTTCTTTAGCGGGGCAAAATCCCTTGGCTTTATTGCCTAGTGGGGAGCACGCATTTCGTAAAGAATGAGTTATGCTTCATCTTTTCCGGTGAGACGGTATCCCTTGGTTATATAGCCTAGTGGGAGGCTCGGCTCTCGTAAAGAATAAGCTTTTACTTTATCGTTTTAGGTAAGACGGTATCCGTTGGCTTTAACGCCTAGTGGGAAGTCCGTATTTTTGTAAAGAATGAGTTATGCTTCATCTTTTTCGGTGAGACGGTATCCCTTAGTTATATAGCCTAGTGGGAGGCTCGACTCTCGTAAAGAATAAGCTTTTACTATATCTTTTTAAGTAAGACGGTATCCCTTGGCTTTAACGCCTAGTGGGAAGTCCGTATTTGTACACTTGGTGGTTGATCAGACCCTCAAGTTTTTCATGTAGGAAGTCTGTCCGTTTACCTAAGTTTTGAAGGGCGGGTAAGACTCCCCGGAGCTTTAGTTGCTCTATTTTTTGGAGCTTTGGGGAGTGAGAAACCAAGGTTCGGGTTGGCCAGACCATTTGTGATCCTTAATATCTTTTCCTTTAGCTATTTTTTGAGTCTATTGACTTTTTGTTAAATCTATTGTAGATGTCTTGAACGAAAACGCGTAGAGAAGACAAATTGTTGATGTAGAAATCACGGTGGCGATATCCCACCGACTAAAATATTTTATTAAGAATCATGCGACTGGCGGTATGCCTTGAAAATATTGTGCGGGCGGGTATGCCACCGACTTATTGCTGAAAATAAATTACATGGGGCCCGCATGGGGCAATAGTAAATACTAAGTAAAGTATTTCTTCAGGATTGCGATTGTTCTAGGAATTCTCTCAAGTGCCCGTTTTGGACAAGTCTCCCGAGCTCGCATAAGCTGAAAACACTCATCAATAGTGTGACCTCGAGCTCTGTGGTATTCACAGTAGTTATCCGACTTTTGTCGTTCTGGATTCTCATTCCTCCTTTTCGGTGGTTGAAGAATACCCTTCTGCTCAGCGATGATCATCATGTCAAGAAGTTTATCCTTGAGGTGAGAACTTCCCGAAGGTGCGATTTTCGATGGGATGTCTCTCTTCTTCTCTATTATAGTTGTGGCTTTCCACGTCGCGCTTTCGTTTAAGGGGTACTCTCGTCTCCGTGATCTCCTCAATCCGTATGTACTTCCCAGCGCGGTTCAAGAGCTCCTCCAGGGTCTTAGGGGGTCGGCCCGCGATGGACTCTCGAAAACGAACATGCTTCAAATTTTGTTGTAGTATGCCGGCTAACATCTCGTGAGTAACGTGGCGCACTTCATGTACTGCTTTGACAAATCGTTGTATGTAATCTCTGAGTGGCTCTCCGTCTCGTTATATGACCTTGAAGAGATACGATCCAGTTTTGGCATATTTCTTATTCATTGAGTCGTGGTTAAGGAAATGTGTCGCTAGTTGGTCCAGATTGTCTAAGGACCCTCCGGGCAAGCCGTTGAACCAAACTTGTGCCTGATCAGTCAGCGTAGTCTGAAAAATCTTGCAGTAAGCTGTGTTACTGAGGCCGTAGAGGTCAAGCTTGGCGTAAAAGTTATTTAACTGTTCTTGGGGATCTCCGGTCCCGTCAAATTGGGGTAGATTGGGGATCCTAAATCCGAGAGGTAAGACTTCTTCCATAATGGCAGGAACAAATGGGCTTATTCGAGCGGGGAATGTTTCAAAGCGAGCGGTCGTTGGCCTCGAAGCTTTTCGTCGAGGTCTCCTTGAGTTACGGTCATCAATGCCCTCACGGCTCATTTTCTTTTCAGATTGGGAATATCTACTTCCAAATTTATTTCCGATAGAGTCTCTATGGCGAAAGGAGCGCTCGCTATTCCTGTCATATCGTGATTCGTGGCGTGCCACACCCGGCCGAGAAGAAACACTTCTCTCTCGACGGCTATGCGCCGCTCTCTCCCTTGGAGGAGCCCTCTGCCTCACGGGGCGTGGTGACCGGCGGCGAGCTTCTCTTCGAAGGGGGCGGTTCGATGATGGGTTGTGATGAGGCGATTGGTGGCGAGCGTATCTTCGACGCTCACGATCTGAGGATGCGCTACACTGAGGCGAGTGGTGGTGAGCCTCTTCGAGGAGCTCGTTCGGAGAAATAACTTTGGCTGTCGAGCGATACTCTTTTAAGGCTTGTAATTCCTCTGCAGTCATCTAAATGACCGGCGCTGAAGATCCCGCAAGGTTGGCCGCTCCCGTCGTTCTCTTCCTTCGAGGCGGCTCTATGACTCCAGCGTTACCTTGAAGCGGTTGGTGGAGATCGCCTTGACCACCTTCGTTGGCCGCTCCCGTAGTTCTTTTGGTTCGAGGCGGCTCTAAGACTCTACCGCTCTTCGAGGCGGCTCTGAGACTTCGTCGCTTCCTCGAAGCGGCTCTAAGACTCTTCCGCTCTTCGAGGCGGCTCTGAGACTCCGTCGCTTCCTCGAGGCGGGCGGCTCTAAAACTCTTCCGCTCTTCGGGGCGGCTCTGAGACTCCGTCGCTTCCTCGAGGCGGCTCTAAGACTCTTCCGCTCTTCGAGGTGGCTCTGAGACTCCGTCGCTTCCTCGAGGCGGGCGGCTCTAAGACTCTTCCGCTCTTCGGGGCGGCTCTGAGACTCCGTCGCTTCCTCGAGGCGGGCGGCTCTAAGACTCTTCCGCTCTTCGGGGCGGCTCTGAGACTCCGTCGCTTCCTCGAGGCGGCTCTAACACTCTTCCGCTCTTCGAGGCGGCTCTGAGACTCCGTCGCTTCCTCGAGGCGGGCGGCTCTAAGACTCTTCCGCTCTTCGGGGCGGCTCTGAGACTCCGTCGCTTCCTCGAGGCGGGCAGCTCTAAGACTCTTCCGCTCTTCGGGGCGGCTCTGAGACTCCGTCGCTTCCTCGAGGCGGCTCTAAGACTCTTCCGCTCTTCGAGGCGGCTCTGAGACTCCGTCCCTTCCTCGAGGCGGGCGGCTCTAAGACTCTTCCGCTCTTCGGGGCGGCTCTGAGACTCCGTCGCTTCCTCGAGGCGGGCGGCTCTAAGACTCTTCCGCTCTTCGGGGCGGCTCTGAGACTCCGTCGCTTCCTCGAGGCGGGCGGCTCTAAGACTCTTCCGCTCTTCGGGGCGGCTCTGAGACTCCGTCGCTTCCTCGAGGCGGCTCTAACACTCTTCCGCTCTTCGAGGCGAGTGGTTGGGATCGCCTTGATCCTCTTCGTCATGACACGTGATCTAGTTTGCCTTCCCACAGACGGCGCCAAAATGATGCTGCTCCAAAATGTTGGGTCAGCCCAATGGTCTTGAAGCCCACAGGTCTCCTAAGTCCGGGAATCTTCAAGCCCAATATCGGGAATGCCGAGAGTCCTTGCCACGCGTCCGAGGTAGTCGAAGGGATCGCTCCACTCATTAACCTACAAAACAGTTGAAAACACTAGGTGACACGCCGGGCCACCGACGCTCAAGTCAGAAAACTATCACAATATAAGCAAATAATATTAATTAATTGCCTAAATAGTGCTTACCTTATTATATGAGTTAAATCACATATTTATAGGTGATGAAATATGGAGACTTCTTGTAGAAATCCGATGTGGGACAATATGTTATAACTAAAATCCTATTGAATTTTAGTAGATGTGATAATTGGGCTTTTATTATTAATTGGATTGATTTGGCCTTTTAGGCCAAAAACCCAATTAAGAATTAGGCACATCAACTATATATATTAATTATAGTTTCATAAATTTTCATTTGTCAACGATGTCACGTACAGTTGAGCTAATTAATAGAGTGGCTGCTAATCCCTGCCCATAGGCCAACTGGGCATCTTTATTCTTTGAATTTCTAAAAAAAAGCCTTTATTCGTTGAATTTTTATTTTATTTTTATTTTTATTATTTTATTTTAATCCAATATTTTTATGAAACTAATTGACTCCTATTTTCTCCTCTTTGAATTAATGTAGATGGAGATGGATCAACTATCATAATAATACGACAATAATTTTTATTTTTATTTTTTTGGAATAGTAATAAATTTCAATTGTATTAGTCTTCTTTACTTGAATTTGAGATGTAGATATTTGAAAGAAATAAAACTTTTACTTTGAACTTTGAACTATATATTTGAAAGAAAATTAGTACTCATAGGGATCGGATGAAGATAAGACGGATCAGAAGTTTCATTTTTTTTTTCTCGAAATGAAAAACTAATTACGATTCAACGTTTTGTAAAAATTGGAAACTTTGGGAATTAGAGCGGCTTTAAAAACTTGCTTCTGAAAAGATTTTTTTCTCGTGGAAAATCGGTATTTAATGTTATATAAATCATCGAAGAACAAAAACAATGGGTAATAAGACGTAAGCGACAAAATTGTATTGCTTCTATGTCATCTCACCTTTCGTTCCAAGCTTGTTTGGTGCAAGAATTTGGTTGTGTACGTGTAAAACAATTCCGCGTCTGTAGTTGTTCGGGAAAAAAAAAAAAAGTACACTCTTTGAATTTTGGATTTTGGCCGGAAAAAGCAAAAAATTAAAAGGCATATATATATAATTGTAGCAACGCACAAATTACACGGGACGTCCAAATTTTACTGCACGGTTTAATAAAAATATATTCGTATGAAAACACAACCAAAAGGTTTATTTCCGAGTGCAATATATACAAAGCTTACGGAACACAATACATGCAAATTAATCTATTCACATCACAACAATAATAATTAAAAAAAGGGCCATATTACGAGGTATAAATAACGAATCACGAGACAACGATGTCGTCACCGTCAACTTCCTTGGAGGACAAGTCACCAGACGATCCCTTCCCCAGTCGAACCCAATCCCGAGAATCTTTATCAGAACTGTAGTTCGATTTTCTGAAACTCGTTCTGACATCATCATTGTCATCTTCTTCAAGATCACTAAACGACACGTCGTCATCGTTCTCGATGGGAATGGAGTTTCCGCTTCCAGCAGCACCATCAATTTCCGAAGTTTCTTCCTTTAACCAATCATCTGCATCGTCTTCTTCGTCTTTCTCACCAGAGACATTCAAGAAACGAGGCTGATCTTTGACTTGGTCAACATCACCCTTCTCTTCAACGACAGATTTGTCAGTAATTTGGATTTCACTTGTCTCAACCGATTGCTTTGCTATTTCGGTATTAGGTTGTTCTGTTGATGCTGTGGTATCCTCCCTTTTGGAAAGAACGGGGGATGGCACAGAAAGGGGTTCTTCGTTATGAGAGGTAGTATTTTCTTCTGGATCGGAAGATTTTTTCCCAGAAAAGTCTTCTGTTTTGGGTGTATTTCGATTCTTTAATTCATATGCCAGCAAAGCCCTAGCTTCCATTATCTGCACAGGGGAGGAGTTACGAGATCAATAGACTTGACGGTTAAGGAAACACGAGATAATATGCATGGTTCTCATCATATGTATAACAAATATAAGGCTTCATCTGGATTGAAGGATTTGAAATGATTCTAAATTAAAAAGTATGGGATGAATCAATAACATAGAATATAAAGTATGAACAGAGATGACGAACTTTATCAACCATGCACACGATTGCAGTATTCTAATGAAAGTCGACTTTTATCATCTTATCAGTATGGGATGCTACAGAAACTCCAACTGCTCCTTCCTATATATTCCCGCTTGTTCCTTCTTCAAAGATATATATTTTCAAACTAAGGTAGATACCAGAGGAATTAAGCTGAGAAACTAACGTAATAAACAAGTCAATTATATAACTAGGGTGCCAGTGCTATGCCTTCTTTCTCATTTCATTAATTGGACCAACAGAACTAGATACATTAGGATGTATGTAATCATGGAATAACTTTCTTGATTAAAAACATCAGTACTGAGCTAGAAAGATATATTCAGTCGTAAAACTGAGTACACTTATCATGGAAATATAAAAAAGGATGTTAAATTATTACTTTGTGCTCTAGTAATTTGTTAATTTATTTACCGAGTGAAATTGACCATTCACCAACAAATATTTAATAGTTAACACTACCGACTGCATTACTTTCATACTCAAAACAGAGAATACTAATGAGGTAGTGTTCTTCTTGCACGAACAAATCAGACCAACTATGTGCACAACAACAACTAAAAAACTAAGCCAATTGCTACCGTAACGAAAAGTGTGTTGCATTCATAAAAAAATAATTTCAGCTCTAACAGATTCCCATTTCTTGAACTTTAAACATGATATAAGAACATTACAAAGGAGAATAGTGAGAAAAGGGATGATGATGATAAGGATAAACAAAGAAGAACCTGTGGTGTTGACAGAAGCACAGCATCCTCTTTATCGAGTCTCGGGTGAAGGAGTACAAAATAAATCTTCCAGAAGTTGCTTTCACTCATGTATTCAGGGCAAAGCTCAATCCTTAACGCGGATAATTCTGGCGCAAATCGTTCAACTGCTAAGGCATGTTCTTGTTGGGCATCCGACATATCAAAATCTAGCATTTACAAAAAAATAACCAGTAAATTCAGATTCATTACCAACTATTACAATGAGACTAATATAACAGTGCAAGACAAAGATTTAAGAAAATGAGGGAAAGTGTTATGTAGTCAAATATGCCAAGTGGATACTTCATTACAAAAGATCCATGATGCCCTTTTAGTTTGTACAACGACGAATTGAACTTCATGAACGAAAACAAGTTAAAGACGTAACAAGAACGAGGCTTTGAAAGCTGTGCGTAGGCCTGTGAATCAAGTCGGGCTCAAAACCCAATGTTTGACCCATTTATACTTGAGCAGAGCGTAAGCAGAGAGGGACTTACTTTGAGACCTTAAATGGAGCCCAAATTAGTTAGTATTTTAGCCATATTTTCTAGAATTTTAATTAAATATTTAATGTCATATAACCAAATTGTTTGGGTCTCTAGTTAAAGTTAGTACATAATAAGTTTGTGATACAAGATTATTCTGATTATGATACATATTCTTGTAGAAGAGAGTTTAGAAATAACTTTCACAATTTTATGACATGTTCCTGCTATTAAAGACTTTAAATTTGATAAGCATTATAATAAAATTTTAACAAGTTAGCATCTGAATTCAATATGTTGCTTGATCTTTAATCTTATTTACAAACACTTAAGATGACAAGGGTAAATGTGTCATTAGTTTTTTTAACATTTATATAAATCCATAAGCATTTATCTTATGCATTTTATATGGTAGTGTGACCTAGCTCGAAATAAACTTGAAGCTCACAATCAGAAAATGTGAGTAGAGGTTGAACTCGGTCAAGACTCAAGAGAAAATTGTGAACTAAGGTTAGAGTCTGCGATTGTATAGCCATCTAGAATTCTGAGCCCTGAATATGCTGTTTCATTAGAACTTCAACAATGAAGCACATAAACATACATTCCAAATTACCGGAATAATTCCAACACCCGAAGCATTCTTGTCAATACAAATACATCTCACTCCTAAAAAGATCGTAAAGCCTTGATACAGCCCATTCAGTTAGTAAGTTAAGATATTGTTAATATATATATATCTATCCATTTTATATGCAAACCTGCAATGGAGTTCCTTAAGCAACTTGCTCAATTAGTTGCCTAACACTACGAGTATCTATTATCTAATCATCCTCCCATAAATAGCAATAGTGATATATAAAAAGAACATCTAAAAGACAAAAACAAAATTGGGGGTAAACATACCGATTTCTTCATCATTTTCCGGTAATGGAAAATCCAACCAGGTCTCTGGATGCATCGCAACATCACGAACGAAAGCCAACACTTCCTCAGTCACGCCCACTGCTCCATTCCCCGATGAATCGAATCCCTTCTCCTTAGCTGCCTCTTCATTCTCATCATCCGACTCCAATTGCAGGAAATTGGAGGCCAATTTGGTAATTTCAGAAACGTTGATGTTATTCGATAGCCGAGAAATCCCGCTCCTGAACTTCCCACCAATCTCCGCAAAGTCACCTCGGATCCCCGATGCGGGATCCTGATCGGATTCCGCCAATTCGGGGCCGGATTTCTGATCGGGTTGGGGTGGAGGGGCTAGGAACGAAGCGACGCCCCAGAATTGGCGGGTTAGGGTTTTGCTTAGCTCCGACAGATCTTCCTTGACACCGCGCGACGGAGACGTCGGGGATGTAGCTTCGTCGTCACCGGAATCAGGGTTTTCGGGATGTTTAATCTCGGGCTTCTGGCCGGCGCTGACGTCATCGTCGTCGTCGAACTTGAGAGAGTTCGCGATGGATCGGGCCAACCATGACATTTTTTTGTTAGCGAATAATGCTTCGAATATTCGACTCCGGTGGCCGGCGATTTGCTTTTTTTGCCGTGGGAATTGAGAGCAACAGACTGAACTTCGGTCAATTAAGGTTTTTTTTTTTTATTATTTGCGCACTTCTGAAGCATATATATTGGTTAATTTACGTTGAGCTCCCTAATATTTTATCCTTTTACATTCAACTACCAATGTTTTGAGATTTGTCCACCACTGCTTGTCCTTCCCATTTATCAGCTTATCAATTTTACCCCTTTAGTATCAAATCTAACACTTACCACCTCTAGCCCTTTAAACTTTTTCATATTATTTACAAAAAGACACTTGGAAATAAAAATTGTAAAATATACTACAGTAGAATCTCGATAAATCAATTCTTTTAATTCTAACTCGATTAAAATGTATTTCATTATTAGTTCGATAATTTATTCGCTAAATTAATAGAGTTTTTGCTAGTCTCGACTCTATTAATTTATAAAGGTTTAACTGTATATTCTATATATTTTTAATATATAAATAGAACGCCTCACAAATATATTTTTTTAATTATTTTAATTTATCTCTTTAATATCAATTTTGATTCGATTTTCGTTTTCGAAAATATTTTTGAAAATTTTGGCTATTTTTCAAAGAACATAAATATCATATCAATATTATGTGCACTTATATTGTAGGTGACTAAGAAAACTAGAATTTTCGAAAAAACTCCTATTAACATTTTTTTTCATTCCAATTTCTGAAATTTTGATTTTTCATTCCAATTTCTGAAATTTTGATTTTTTAGGCGAAAAGAGCAAAGTAGAGAAAAATACATACACATTACTTTTCTAATACAATACTCCCCCCATTATTTTGGTGGATTAGCTAATATAATAATTTCATTCACATTTCATAGAGAGCAACTAATCTAGTTCAAAGAACAACATTAACTACACCATTTCACAGAGTAACCGAATCCCCGTCTCGAAAAAAGACGATCACGATTTTATAGGTTTGAAATTGCTCGAAAGTCGCTCAAGGTGTGCCCATAGCAAATTCCCAAACGAAAACCTCGATCTTTCCTCCGCTCCGCCCCCATTATTGCTACCGCCACTCCCCCCGCCACTCCTCGACCTAGTAGAAGGTGTTGCTTCAGGAGATACCCCCGAAGATTTGTTGTGCACGAAAATGGACCCGCCGATTTCATGTCTTATTATATCAACCGTCTCGGGCCCCACATTTTTCCCCGTTGTGTCTTTCAAGTAGAATGTTCCGGTAGCTTTCTCGCCGCGAATACCAATCTCGGCCCGGTTTATCGAAAGCCCGTTCTCCCGGAAAACCCTCGTGACATCAGATAATAGGCCCGTTCTGTTTCTAGTGCAAATGTCCAGTCTCAATCCCTGCACACATTTTATTTAAAGAAACATAGATGATTATCGAGATTGCCTTGTCGTTTCTTTTAAAAAAAATTAACATTTTTGGTAAAACTAACTTACGTGAGAAACTCTACGTTCTGCTGCAGCAATCAAACACTTGGTGACTCTGCACTTCTCGTTTTCGGAATCGATCGTGTATCCATCCTTGTGCTTCACATAATACTCCTGACATAAATTAAAACCAAATTTAACAATTCGATACAACACATACGTACTAAATGCAACAAACTCATTTTCATTATTCTACGTTTCTACCATTTGTATTGCTTGATTAAATCACAACGTTAAAAATTGACAAAAGGAAATAATAAAAAATCGAAAATAAATTTTTCGTCGTGCATTTACCTGAAACGCGTTAGATCCCTGAGAGCTGATTGCCGCGTGGTGGACCACATACTGCAGGTCCGTAAGAGTACACACCGTGTCGAACAATAACTTGAGCCGATCCCGGCTCCTTACCGTAATAACCGAATACCCCGTTTCCTTACAATTCTCGATTTTCACATGCGTGCCGTCACAACCCTTCTTCTGCCCCTTATGGCACCCCCCATGCACATAAAAATCGTCCAACTCGCTACTCCCGCCGGAGCACGAGCAGCACCCCTCATAGTCGCCGTCGGCCGCCATGAGCTGGTGGAGCCGCCGCTCCGTGTGCGTCCGGCCGGGGGTGGGGGCGGCCATCCTGACGCTCCGCCGCTCGTCTTTGTGGTGGTGGGCCTCCACCACGTTCTCCAGCTGGGCCTGGACCTGTGCCACCCGGCACGGGTCCATGGCCGCCGAGCCGCCGGATTTGCTGGCGGCGGCGGTGTCCTCCACGTAGATGATGGAGGCGGCACGGCCGTTGTGGGTCCAGGCAACGGCCGAGGTGACGTGGCACCCGAGCTCGGCGAGTACGGCGGACATTTCGGACATTAGGCCCGGCCTGTCAGTGCCGGTCATCTCGAGGGCCACGTGTTGTGTGGAGGACACGTGTAAGGGGAAGATTGGTTGGTGGGTGATTGGTGGAGAGGAATCTTTTGAAGCTTGCCTACTTGGGCAAATGCACTATTTCAAAAAAATAAAAAATATTAATAAATAACATTATTGCTTTTTGTTTTATCTAAAAATGAACAACTTCTATCTTTATATAATATATAATTAAATAAAAAGAATGAAAGAAAGAAACCTCTTGAATGTAATGAATGAGGGTTTCGTCAGTGAGTTTGTCACCTTGCTGGTCAGTCACGTGGAAGACTGGAAAACCATGCAATCAAAACCAATAATTTCATGGTGGGCTCATATATATATATTTTTTAATTGTAAATGTGAAATTAATTATATATATGAAAAGAAAAAGAAAAAAGAAAAAAGAAAATATATACCATCCATTAACCAACCACCATCGGAGGAGATGTAAGATTTGGAAATGACGAGGTCAAGATCAGTAAGAACTTGGACCATTTCCAGCAGCATCCCGTGCTTATTTGCACTGTCAACCTGAACAAATTAAAAATAATAATTTCTTTAATAAATAAACTAATTAATAATGTACATTAATTAGTAAAGGTATTTCTTTCACAGTCACAGGCCATTTTCTGCAGGACTTCATTTTACTGACATCGGTCCCAAAACTCAGGCCCGGCCCGAAGACCATAAACTACGTGCAAAACATTTCAAAGTAGCTTCACAAAAAGAAATGCCTAATTATTTTTGTTAATTAGTAAAACAAATTAGATATATATCGGATCTTGTTATGATGAACGTAACTAGCACAAATTAACACCATAAAAAATAGATGACACGATTCTTATGTTGCGCTCGGAGTCGAATTCCTGGCATAGGATTTATAACCGATATTTGCATAATGGCTAGGATTAGTGTTTGCTTAAAATCGTAAAATTTCACATATGATTGATGAATTTTAATAACTTCAAGGTTTCACTTAGTTTTTGTAAAGTGTACTCGATTGTATCGCAACAAAAGCTCGATAACAAATAGACACACTCGATCACCATCAGCAATATAAAGATTGCATTTTTATATACGCAGAACAAATTATCTCAAAATCAAATACATATATACTTAAAGTACTGACCTTCACAAGAGTGCAATCTGGATAGGTATCATTGTCAATACAAACCCTAGAAATCTCAAAACAAGAGACCAAATAAATAAGTGAAACAATTTATATAATAAAGAATTAATAAATTAATAAGGGACTGAGTTGCAAATTAAAGAATCACCTCGGTGGATGAATCCTATCGATTAGTACACTGAATTCAGGATCAATGTATGGTCTGTAAGTAATATCCATCTCCCCCAAACCAAACCACTAATTTCTTTAATTTCAGAGGATTATCAAACTGCAACAAAAACATATATTATAAACAAAATTCATAAATGCAATGCAAGATTTACATACATATACATACATATATATATAGGGGGGGAAGAAAAGGGAAACGGTGTAAATCTTGTTTTTCACGTCAATTATTCAAGAAAGCAACAAAAAGAAACACCTTTATAAATATCCACGAACCAAATTGAGATAATTGGATTTCTTCAACATAAAGAAAATTAAACCGACTTGAATTCAAATTTCCAAAATTAAAATGAAATAAGATAAATAAACACGAGATTGATATATCCCAGATTCCGTATCAAAGAATGTGATAGAATTACGAAGCAAAGAGGAAGAAAAAAAAATGAATTAAGGATGAATTAATTTACCTAGGAAGAAACTAGACGCTGTTCTCTGGGAGGAGGAAAATCGGAGGTAGCTAGCCCCCAGGATGTGTGGCTAATTAATTACTTTTTTCTAGAGAGAGAAATGTGCGTATATATACATATATATATATATAGAGAGAGAGAGAGAGAGAGAGAAAGTGTGTATGTGTGTATTTATTTTTTTGCGTGGAGTTTATTGATGTTTTGGTTTTTGGGTTATATAAAGCAGATGTGATTGTGATTTGTGATGATGTGTATTTAATTTTTAGTCAACGAAGGAGGAGATGATTCAGAGCTGGACGCCGCCACGTATCAAGTAGGAGGATGACGTGGCGCATGGGTCTTCTGTTACAATTAAGCGCGGCGGCTCGGAAAAGTGGGGAAGCTGCAACAGCTGAGTTGAATCATCAAATACTTATTTTATTTTATTTTAATATAGATAATTTTGATACCCTCCTTTTTTTTTCATAATTATATCATTGTGATACCTTAATAAATTTATTTTCTTCAATTGCATCAAATAGTTTTATTATTATATTTTCTATTGTTACATTTCATTTTATAAACTAGCAATTCTTCCCATGTGCAATGCACGGGTAGCATTAATTAAAATTTAAATATATAATAATTAAATTGAATTAAAAAATATATTACACAATATTAAAAATATTTAATTGTGAACATTTAAATTACCAAAATACCATTAAAAAAAGTTAAGTATTACTAGCTGATTTGCAAATTTAATTTGTTGTGACATTTTTTTTCTTAACTTTTAGAATTAAATTAATTTTTTTCTTAACTTTTAGAATTAACTAGGGAAATTCATTCAAATTCGAAATTTGTCCATAAATTTATCTTGGAATTGAAAGAAAAATAGAGATTTCTACTCAGAGTGAATATATGATTAAGGTGGTGTTTGCAAACGCTTTTTGAAAGTGATTGTGAGCTTTGTTTTGCCCATAATTTGTTTTCAGGTGTTTGCAAAATCAACTTTTGCTTTTGTTTTTCTTAAAAATTGGATTATTAGCAAGACCCCCCTCATCTAGGAAATGTAGTTAAGCAAAACCCCCCTTCCAAAAATAATTAGAGAAAACCCCATTGGTTGGTATTCCACTAAGTATTATTTTTATAATTCCAAATCTACCATTAATTGTCAATATACTATTTTGAAACCCTAATTTCTCTCATCTTTCCTCACCACCACCACTGCCTCTCCCCCGCCGTCCACTGCTACCGCCGCCGATCCTCATCGACCACCACCGTCCCCTCGTCGTTCCACCACTCAATCTCACTTTGTCTTCGCCGCTCAAAACCCTCACAATCACAGTTGCCGACACCACCGCCGCACCTGCATATGACGCCAACAAGTCGTACACACTCCACATCCCCTCCACCGCCGTCGCCGCCGTTCTGACCGCAGAAACCCCATGGGGAACTATGCGGGGACTGGAGACGTTCTCACAGCTGGTGTGCTTAAAGTCGTCGGTGGTGGCCTGCGGTGGTGGTCTGCTCCGCCGCCGCCGCCGCCAAGGAGTTCTTCACTAAGAACAGGTAATTCATAAACAAATCTGGATATATGCTCTCCTTTCTCTTTTCCTTACTGTAATTATCACATTTAAATTTTCAGTCAAGGGGAAAAGAAGCTCCCACCAAGTCCGATGCGGTGTGGTAACAATGGAAAGACTGATTTTGAGTTTTTTTGTGGATCGGACGGAGGACGGCACAAATCTAAATTATGCTCGAAATCCGAAAAGGCTAATAGTTATTTATAATTAATAATGCCATATTCGACAAAATGAGGATTTAAATACTAAAATATAAGGGGTGAATATGACGTGATAATTTAATAAATAAAGATCATCCATTTACTTTATGAAAGCCGCCCCGCCCCACTCATTGACTTGTCAAAATCAACAAGTTAAAGAAACCACCTACACAATGGGCCCGCCGCCCTTTAATTGATCGTATAATATTAATTAAAATAAACCCCCTTCATTCATCTCTATCCATCCTCCTATCACAATTCACAACAACTCTACCAGATAATAATAAATCGTATTCATACTTCAAATCATCCATATCCATTACTATACACGTCGTATTTTATATACGTATATTATACGACAACCCTTTGTCTTGAAATTCCTTTAATCTCTGGAAGAAACCCAGCTGTCTGTCCGAAAAATTCAATCGATCTCATCAATTTCACCGCAGATTTTTCTTCCTACGTCATCACTTCCCCTTTTCTCTCTCTACCCTTTTCCGTGTAATTCACGTCATCTGTAAAGAATTTTTATGAATTTATGGATTTAGAGCTGTCGAAGAAGAAGAAGAAGAAGTGGGTTCTTATTTTGGGAGCATTGGGTTTCACCAGCTATGCATCATACAGAATCTACAACTCCCCTTCTGTAATCGAGAAGCGGCGGAGATTCTCCAAACTCACTAGCGCATTTTTCGCCGTCGCCGAAACGGTGTCGTACTCAGCTGACGCAGTTGGGATTCTCTCCAAAGACTTCAAGGAGTTTCTCGGGTCGGATTCCGACCAAATCCCACAAAGTCTGAAGCAACTCTCCAAAATTGCCAGGTCAAACGAATTCTCCGAGTCGTTGACCAAAATCACCAGTGCTTCCACTGCCGGAATCTTGCAAGGCTACTACCATCATCACAACGAGTTCGAAAAAAGTGGGCCCGGTTTCTCCGATCGGGTCGTGGATAAACTGTTTTCCGATTCCGGGTCGGGTTTCGCTTCGGTAATCGTCGGGAGTTTCGCCAGAAATTTAGCAATGGGTTTAGTCAACGAATGGCAGAATAATAATCGAGGATTGGATTCGGACAGTCTTCCAAATTCGAAATCGTGGGTTGATTTCGTCTGTGAGGATAATTGCAGAGAGCTGATCGGAGATTGCATCCGATTGTTAGTAAGCACAGCCGTGGGCGTATATTTGGACAAGACGATGAATATAAACACATACGACGAAATCTTATCCGCACTGACGAATCCGAAAAACGAAGCTAAAGCGAAAGACATGTTAGTGTCCGTATGCAACGGTGCAGTAGAAACGTTAATCCGAACATCTCATCAAGAATGGACAACGAATTCAAACCCAAAATCGAATTCCAATTACTCAAAGATCGATTTTGAAGACGGGTTTAGTGCGAAATCGAAGAAATCGACGAATCGAGAGATTGGATGGGTGAGGAACGTGTCCAAGACATTGGCTGTGCCGAGTAATAGGAGGCTTGTTCTTGATATGACGGGGAAAGTGACATTCGAGACGGTGAGGTCTTTCATGGAGTTTGTGCTCGATAAATTTTCCGAGTGTACGAGGAAAAGTGTTGACGTTGTTCATCAAGAAGTTGTCGATAAGGGAGTTGAAGCAATTCGGCATGTGAGCGACAAATCTGTTACAGTTGCTACTCTGTGTCTTACTTTGTGTCTGAACATATTGAATAGCCCTTGGATTTTGGCGACGGCCCCCTACTAATTTCTGCTCTCTCTCTCTTCGATGACGATGATTCTTTATTGTGGCTTGATCAGTTACTGAATATAAACTTTTCTGTAAGTATGGTTCCTGATTGAACAGCAAGAAATTTGATCCAGGTGGTAATATTACATTTGTGCATCTGTCTGTATATTTAAAATGTATACATTAGAAATTCAACATGAAAACCAGCAACAAAAAAAAAAAGTAGTGAAGTAGATTTTCTGTCTTTTGTCATGTCAACGAGTTAAAATCGCGTTTAGGCAGAGGTGGGATCGGACTCTTTTGCTGCTGCTGCTGCTGCTGCTGCTGCATTTGCTTCTTGTTGGAGCTTGTTTTTCCAGTATTCGTCAAGAGGGGGACCGAATATGGCTTTTCCAGACACAACTCCTATCCTGGAAAAAGACATACGAGGCAATTATGAAATCAGATATTTTACCGAAAGTGAAACTGATTACATCATTTCAGCAAACAACTATAAACAGTTCGATATTGTTTAATTACAATGCTCCAGAAATTGCACTCGACTTTCCGGGATTACATGAGCCTTCACGCTTCACACACAGCTTCTATAAGTACTCTGCACCTATTTCCACAACTAACACAATTTTACGATGAATTTTTGCACGTCAGAGAAACAAAAGAAACAAACAGAGGCTTTGATTTCACTCCCCCCACTCTCGTTTCCCACGTTTTTTATGTAGTCGAAAGAAATGTCAGAATTTTATCATCCATTACGAACAAGAATGGATAGAGTTGAATATCGGGAATTGAGACGATGAGTTATAAAACCTTAACCAACCCTTAATCATGAGGTCAGGTCCAGTTACGGGTCAATGGTTCAATCCTTAATCCGATGATAAAAAGTCGAAACATGAAAAGTCGAGATGTTTCTACACAAATATAAACCGATGATCTCTTAACAGAATTGTTGCAAGATCAACCAGATAAGAAACAAACAAATGGGGTTAATCTATGTGAACTCATAGGACTTTCCGATTGGGGGTAAATAGATCATGAACAAAACCCTAGATTGCATTTCCTTGTTCCCTATTTACTTATGAACCCTAAATTCCTTATGAATCATGTAAATAACAGGGTAAATAAATCTAGAAATTTCAATTATTCAAAACCCAGTAAGCAGTGGATAATTCCGAAAACTATGAATCAAATGAGCTCAATTAAACAATCGCATACCTCCATAAATAATCAATTCTCCAAGCAGATTAAGATGTGGGCGCCGATGATAAAAAAACAAAAGGAAAATTATAGAAAAAAAATAAAAAAATCTTACACGACAGCTCCAATGACCAGAGGCAGTGACAGAAATCTTCTCCGACCGAACATTTGTGAGGATTTTAATCAATTCACATGAAAATAGAAATCCCTAATACCAAATCACAGATGAACTTGGATGAAGCTTGGAGCCAACTCGATCTCTCAGATTTTCAGTATTTTTCTTTGTTTTCCCTTATGGGCGGGCTATTAAGTTTCGGGCTTTGGGCCTCATTGTAAGCTCATTTAATCATTTAATTGGCATGTTTTTAGCTCACCCGTTTAACTAACTTATAAATTTAGCTTCAATTTTGGTCACCCCTTATTAGGTAGAAACAAAAATATGTTTGGCATAAACTATGAATTTTCTTACACGTCTAAAATCTTCTATACTCCGTGGAATTGTTCTCTAGTTTGTACTCGTTTTTGCAAAAATGCAGTTTCTGATATTTACAAATCAAGAGACACATGTTATGATCATTTTATTCAAACGTGGAGCTCGAATGTGGTTAAATGAAAATACACATAATCTAGGAAATTCCACTAAATTTAACACCGCAATGATAGACGTGTAAGAAGATTATAGTTGATGGTTTGGTTGTAATTACCCAAACATGAATTGTTTTTTTTTTCGTAATTTAACCTTACATATTGCCGTAATTTACACATAAATTTATAATACAATGCATAAAACTACTTTTTATGTTCATAATCTCTTATTCACAATATATATATTTAAGTAAAATACACATCGACCCATTAACCAAAAGATATTCTCATTTTATGCTTTTCTTTCAAAAAAGTCATGTGAGTCAACCTTTTAAATTAGTAGTTGAAGTTCAATTTTTTCTCTTCTTCCGTAAATTATAAAAAAGTAGAAAATCTTAAAACAAATTGATGAAAAGTTAGTCCAATGTGGTGGAAAAGATTAAGGTGGTGTTTGCAAATGCTTTTTGAAAGTGATTATGCGGTTTTTTTTGCTCATAATCTGTTTTTAGGTGTTTGCAAAATAAACTTTTGCTTTTGCTTCTCTTAAAATAATCTGCTTTAAGCTATTTTTTTAAAAGCACCCCTAACCCTGCTTTTTCAATTTTAGTTCATTTTCCGAAATTTTTGCAAACACCCCCAACTTTTAGAAATAAGCACTTAAAACTAACTTAAATCACAATCACTAACTTCTGCTTTTAAATAATCATTTGCAAACACCACCTAAATCACACACTATAATTAATATATATATTAATTTCGTTAATGGTAAGAAAATTAAAAGGGCTAAATACAATTTGCACCCTTAAACTATAGGGGTGGTAACACTTACCCCTTAAAGTTATAAATGTAACACTTACCCCCCTCATTAATGAATTTAAATGTATAACTTGACTTGAATGAT